TGCCAGCTATCAGCAGAAAGTTTCACGGGGCTTATTGGAGCCTTGAACTACTGAACACTTTAATGCCGACGGACTTACGCTTCGCTATGAATGGGCTACTGCGCATGCCGCCAGCTCAAAGACTGCCATCTGTCAAAAGCTGTTTCCAGGCCTTTGCGGCAAGGTCATTTGGCCGCCACACTCGCCGGATATTAACCCCATGAATTACTTCTTGTGGAGGACTGAAGGAAAGAGGCTCCGCTACTCGCTACACTAGAGTGAACGCGCTCAGAATGGCATTGACACGCCGTTGTGACGAAATTACGGTGGAAGCGTGAGAGCATACCTATGAAATTTTTTGCAGAATACCTCTTAAATACATAGAGGCCAAAAGAAGCAATCTTGAGAAATTGTTATGAACTTTTTTGTTTACGGCCAGAGTTGTTGGCCATGTTAACAGGTCAAGGAAAAAGCTTAACATCCACAGAAACCCAGATTTGATGTTGGTTTCACACAGTCTCGGTTATTACATTGTGATGTAAATATCGTAGGAATATTTCATAAGAAGCTTCCAAAGCAACGCTAGTTATAGGGCATCAAATTTTAATTGCCGATATCAGATGATGATGATGGACCAAACTGAGGATCGAGCTTCCATACGCTATCGTTGAAAGCGACAACTTACGACAAGGGGCCGAACACAGCAATGAAGACTGAGGGAAAGCTTGATGAACTGGGGAGAGGGAGAAGTTGAAATGTTGCTGGACACAGCTTACAGTCCAGATGCTGCGCTATCCGATCGTGGCCCAGTTCCGCTCAAGAGAACATTTCCTACGTAGAAGAGCATTCGAGACATTTGATACAGCTGAAGAGACATCCCAGAAATTTCGCTGATTCAAAGCCCAAGGAATGACAATCTCGAGCAGATGCGGAAGCTCACAGGTTGTTGGCTGATGATCGTGGATAGTGATGGCCTTTATTATGCAGAATAAATATTGTTGTTTCTGATTGGATTTATGTGTAAGCTCCAATTTTCGGCGGTTGATAATGAACTTTTTCTTCAACCTTACAAAAAAAACGTGATTATTATTTCAACTGAACGAATTTATCTGTTTATGCAGCGTTTCTTTTTACTGTTAGATTATCTGCAAAAATTATCGAAACTTTCTCGCACTCTGTATATTGGAAGCGCTTTAAATCGCTTTGAAATGTCCTCTAGTCACTGTCTAAATTTTTTTTGGACAAAAGTTCAGATTTTTTGTCAAATGTTGTCGTAAGAACGACAAAGGAGGCCTATATTATAGAATGCTTATGATATGTAATTTACAAACCGATAAATGTGAAAAGGCTGCAAACCTTCATACATAGATGAGGCGCTGAAGAATGTCTCAATCTTTTTTCACAGTTAAACAAACAATTGCCAGAAAGCATTGATAAGAATGCTTTTAATAAAAATGGCTTCTTCCACTTTGAGCCATTTGTGTCTTAGCTCATTTCGAGCAAAATTAGTTAAAGTGGAAATCACTTATCTTAGAGAGAGCTTTCTATTTGGAGGGTCTTCATACAAGCTGCATTTTCCTCATTTTTTGATAGAAATGTTGAAGATTTTTTGCAAACTTCTAAATACTGATCGTGTTTGGTTCACTTTATACCATATGTACATTGTGCTAGACATAGTGGCAGTAAAAGGAACCCTATTCACCCAACCTTGAGCGCTAGCAAGTCGTCCAAGCCCGCTGCAAAAGCGCTATTCCTTTAACCCTGTCCAAAATTCAGATGTACTACGCGAGTCGCGCATAAACGGCGTCGGGTATATGACGCTCTATGGGTGTGTAGCAGGTGCTTTTTATTCTAGGGTATTGCTGATTTTAGACGAAAAGTGTCATCAAATGTGCACTGAAAGCGTCTGTGCACGTCTTAACGTGTCTCATTAGCGTGGAAAATTGGTTGAATAGAATAGTGTATGTTCTCAATCGAAAAAGCATCTATAGAAAGGAAATAAGAGGGAATTCATGTAGAAAGATTGTACGAAGTAGTCTGTGAAATGAATTAATATTGAGGAGTTGCTTGCCGTGTATCGCAGCATAAATGAACACGTCCGAAGTGAAGTTACTTGTAAATTATAAAGTCTACAAAACATTGTTTCCGCTCTCACACCCTTCTCCCCCACTTACATCGGTTTTCGACAAGCTATCGTATAGCATACTTCATGCGTTGAAAAAAAAAAACCCCGAAAACCATTGAAGCCATGGCGATCAATATGCGGTTTAAGTGATGGTTCGAGGTGAAGTCATCTGCATATTGGTCGAGTGCAATTGTATGGGTTAAGCAGAAGAGTTTCATCAGTAATTTATTTGAATCTTAAATACTTATCTTTCCGTACGTTTCAATGCCTCAGTGTTAAATCCGCTCCATGCAAAATTCGCCTCCGAGCCCTCATATCTCTCCCGGAGCGGTTTCAGAACACCCTGATAGTGCTGAGTTCCCCACATGGAGCTGCGTTCAAACTTGAGTGGGAAACAGCGGCATCACTAGCCTTGGCGTGGAGAGTCGACGCCTTTCCTTATCTCATCAGGGTCAGGCCACTGGGATAGTGTCGATGGGAAATTGCAAGGTGTCCACAGGTAGAGCTGGGATGAGTATCTCTGCAGAAAACATTGAATGGAGTACCATACCATGGTACACAAAGGAATGAAACATAGAATAACCTTGTTCGTAAGATTCACATGATTGATTCCGGCATTGAAAGATAATCAACTGTCGGTGTTTTCATATAAATTGGCTGATATCTCAACATTCTTCTGAATTACAAGCCTTTTCAGCATTTATTGAACACTAATTCTTATATGTGCCTGAACGAGTAATCTGGATGTGCTTAGATTCTTGGAACGTACGCTGATTGTCAATCGATTGTAATAATTAAATCAATTACGACTAAAAACTTAATACGCTTTTTAACGCTCTGTCGACGATTAATCAACTTTAAATTTAGCTCACTTACTGAATTATTCCACTTAACTTCTGCAAATGTCACGATTCTACTATTGACCTTGACCCAAAATCACTGCAGGCTAATAAATCATAACAAGTGGAAAGCATTAACTTTATCACAAATCATTTTCACATAAGGTAGAAACGCTTTTATCAGCAAACTTGTGGCCTTAAAGAGGGCCGTTGTGTCAATTTTTTACTCGAGGGCTCGGATCTTACTCCTCCTCTCGACCAGTCTTCCTGCGTACTAGTACGGCCTGGATGTTGGGCAGCACTCCTGAGAGTAATTTGTTTAGCTCTTCGTCATTAAGTACGGCAAGCTGAACATGGCTTGGGTTGTTCCTGGTCTTCTTGTTATCACGAGCAGCGTTCCCAACCAACTCCAACACTTCCGCAGCTAAGTATTTCAAAACGGCTGTCAAACAGACCGAAACTCCACCACCAACTCTGCTGGCATGGTTGCCTTTGCGCAGCATTTGATGAATTCGTCCAACAGGGAACTGGAGACCGGCACGAAACGATCTTGACTTCGCCTTGCCTCTAGTCCTGGTTTTGCCTCTTTTACCACGTCCAGACATCACGACGGTAACGAGCGACGAATGCGAGATGAACACACGGATAAATCTTCATCAACTAGGGCGATATTTATAGACAACCCGCTCCTGCGCCTCGCCTCCAGTAATCCCTTGCTGCGTGAATAGAGGGGGGGGGGGGCTTCGTCGCGGCAGCCCTATAAATTCGCTTGAAGGTAGGCGTCAACATTCGGAGTTTCTGCGAGTGTTCACTATGCCACCGTAGCCGACCGCCAAAGGAGCTAAGAAGGCCACCAAGAGTCACAAGGCAGTCGCGCAGGAGACATGAAAAAGAAGCATTGCTGGAAGAGGAGCCATTCGGTCTGCATCTATCGCATAGTGAAGCTGGTTCATCCCGATACTGACGTGTCCTTGAAAGCGATGTCGATCATGAACTCTTTCGTGAATGACGTTTTTGAGTGCATTGCTGCCGAGTTATCACGTCTAGCACACAGCAACAAGCGGTGTACGATCTCGTCTCGTGAAATCCGGACGGGTGTCAGATTAATTCTGCCTGTAGGGTTCGCAAAGCACGCCGTTTCGACAGGAATTAAGGCGGTGATTGTGAAGTCAATTGACCCAGCTGCCCTCTTCAGGGCCACAAATGGAACCAAATACTTGTGTGATTTTTTGTCGAGTTAACAAAGTGTTTCTCTTCTGTTCTTGTTTTTTCATATTGTGTCAGTAGTGGCTACTTGGTTGTTAATATTCCTAGAAGTTACTCTTACTTACTCAAGGGATTAAGGAGTAGCAGGTATCTAAGGGTAGAAGCTGAAGTTTCCAAGTACTTTCAGAGGACATGTAGTTAGCCTGTCTCGGAAAAGAGTCAATTATTCTAAAAAGGATGCTAGATTATGCACGTCTGTTTCGTAGTGCCCTCCTACTAAATGGTTTACCCTTTCGAGTCGCCAACGTGAACCCGCCTTGACCACCACGTCGACAATCGATCGCGACGGTCACGAATTTTGGCGCGGTGCCAGTGGCATCTATAGCAGAAATGCGCTTTACAGTAAGCCGTGCAAGCCATTAAAGTTCGGCGCTTGGGGTTGTATGGGTTCAAGACGGATGGAAATGTCTTATCTAGTTCAAATAGAGTGTGAATACAAGGAGAAAAGACAAAAAGAATCTGCAACTTTCCGGAAAAGTCGGTTGGCCTTCGTTTCACTTGGCTAGTGCTTATTGCTGTAGAAGTGACGTCATCGAGATGGCGGGGTTGATGAGGTTTTTGGCGAATAACTGTAACACGTTATCTATTTATTACTATTCGCTTAGCAGTAGCAAAAGTTGCAGTGAATATTTTCAATCAATCGGCGTGATATTTCAAGAATTTATCACGACGACTTACTAATGCGATATCGGTGTAAACTGACGGAATTTTTGTCGTGAACTTGCTAGGTTCCTCTTCGTCAACAAAGTTGAAATTACGCACAAATAATGTTGAGCGATGCGCAAAACTTCGACGTCGTGCGGGACTCGAATCCGCATCTCACCCTTTCCGGAGGGCGCGTGCTCAACCAATTGCACAAACGACGCCTGTTTTTTCCACCACTCTTCAGTTAAAATCAGTTTGAAATATGATCACAAAACTGTCTAGATACGACCAATATCTGGAACATGAGATACCTTCGAATTACGCAAAAAATAAAACTAACAATTGTCCTAAAAGTGTTGGTGAATGGACGAATGTCGGAAAAGGTGGTCTAAAAATTTTTATCAATATCTAACAGAGAACACATTTTTTCAGCGAAAAGGTATCGAGTCCAAATGTGATACTGTACCAATCCCCGAGTTTGCTGAAGATTTGAAGCATTCTTTCAGCACAACTAGTCCATTCATAGCACTCCTTCGACCTACAATGAAGATAGAGTTGGTTATTGAGCGGTATGACTTCGGTTCGGTTCACAATTAGTGATCGACTTGATTTCTGTGAAAAAGTGAAGAATAGCTCACAAACCAATCCTTATTTGAAGCAAAAAAAAGCAAAACTGAAGTCAAATGACTTTTGGAAGGTCTTCATGGTGCTCTGATGGAACAGAAAAAGATTACGTTTCACATTCGGAGTTTTTTTTACAAATAATGTTTATGGTTCTTTTCCGTTTGACGTTACGATATGAAGAAACGACAGCTTTCGCTGGATGATTACTTTCATAAGAGTGTTATTAATTATTTGAAAGTTTAAATCTACGGCTAGTGCGCTTCGTGGGTGTTTTGAAAAGACCCTTTTATAACGCTGCAAAATTCGAGATGAAATTATCTTTTTTTACTCCGATGCGCGTTTTCACTATTAATTCGCTAGAAGCGCGAAAAGCATATGAACGGGTAGACAAAATCTTGTAGTATCAGAGTTATGCGCTTCATCTGGAATCTCTTTCTAAGCGGGGGAACACTTTCTTATTCTATAACAAAAATCTCACTTCACATGTAAGCTCCCTTAGCGCCATCGAAGAACCGCCATGTTGAAACTACGGGCAGCCCCTTCGGGCCAATTTCCCAGCACGTGGATTAGCCGAAAAACAAATGTCTGCGCATGTGAATCAAGCTCTTCCTTGCCACAGTGCAGAGAAACGGCCTTTCCACAAAATAAGCACAGCGTTGAGATCGCTGAATTTCACGCTATGGAATGACTACACTAATAGTCTAAAGAAAGAGCTCTGTTCAGCAAGAAATAAGCACGTGTGAAACACAAACGTTTATTTTCTTGAAGTATTGCAAAACACTCTTTCAAAAAACGAACAGGGAGTGTACAAGCAAGAGATTTGAGCTTTCGAATAATTACTGGCTCTTGTGAAAAGTTCTTGCCCAGCGAACGGGATCGTTTTTTCGTCCCCCGCCGTCTAAAGAAGAGTACAATATATATTCGTTCATAAAGTATATGAGCATGTCCAGAAAATTATGTAATTCGAAAATAACACAAGAGATTTAAAGTTCATTTCCGGAAAGGAAAAAAATATTTACCAAAAGACAGAAATTGCGCAACTCTTGTGGAAATTGATAAAATGCCGTTGGCAAAGGATTGAAATAAGTGATACCTCTTTTATCCCGTCCTGGCGGCAGCTAATAGCTGGGCACGCGCGACTCCTGTTTTTCAATAAAGATTTTCTACTCCGTTTTAGCTATAATTTTAGGTTCGTAATACTTTGATACTACATGAAATTCCTTCAAACCATCTCATCTTTCTGGCTCATCCAACTGCTACCTGCATAAAAAACTAAAAGTGAATCGTAATCTTTTCCTCGCCTTCAGCGCTCTATACAGAGGTTTTTAGAAACCAAACCCTGTTTCAGAATGATCGGGGTCTACGCTATCAAATGTGCATTTAAAATCTAGAAAAAAACCGAGCACAAAACGCATGTGGAAGATGAAACATTAAGCTTCCTTCTCGCTGCTTCAGCTCACTAAAGCCTCTTCAAAAACCAGTGCACCGAAGTTGCCGTTTCTCAAGCTGTCGAATAACTACAAAGGTCTAATATAAAAGCTACGTCCGGCCGCAAAATATAAAAAAGTATCCGTGCACTTCATGGAATGCGCACCGTCTACGAAGGGTTAAAAGAGCTCACCACTCTGGGAGCGTGGACTGATGGGCTCTACTTCTCTAGCTGGCAACACTGGACGGCCTACTACACCTCCTCTCCACCTCGAACCTCCAGCTTGCTACTGTTCGACGCAGCACACTGGAGGCCTATGATGTAGAGCAAATGTAGCAGACAGATCATGGGTGCCAGGTAAAGACGCAGAGGCCGTCGGTCCAAGATCCCAAAAAATTACTACATCTGCTTATAGAAATTGTGAAACACCTAGCGTAAAATTTTGGTGGATAGAAAGTAGTTCTCGGAAGCATTTTGCCACAGGCGACTCACCCTTAAGTTATAGAAATTCAAAAAGGCAGAACAAGCTTTCACTTTGATCTCTGAATCTTCAGCAATCTTAAAAGTTAGTAGACTATTATAGATCGCACCTGACATATTGTAGTGATAGAATGAAGCTACTTTCCGTTTCCTAGTGGACAAAACTTGAAAAGGTAAGATAGATTTCGCATTCTCATCACAAGCAACGATCTCAGCATCCGCAATGAACGATGAAACAGTATTATGGGCACACTTCTGCACCAGAGCGATGTATATGAGAGAAAAAGCACAAGAACTGACTTCCAAGGATGCTGTGTGCAAATGCACAATATGCAAAATATGCAAAAAACGACACTAGCACGTCACACATGTGACGTGCAAATCTGCTATTTAATTTCGAATTTCTTCTCCACTTTGGAAGAAACTCCAGACACAACGTATGACTTTGGCACTACGATATTCCTCTACCTGCTCATGTGCTTTTCGTGCTTAGAGAGAGCATCATTGAAAACGAATGAACTATGTAAAACAATTTCATTTTGAATCCTAGATTGGTATAATGAAGAATTCAAAAAAAGAGCACTCAGTGCGAAGCCAAAGACTTGAACTTTCTAATGATTAGTGACAGTCTTATGGAGAGTTCTTGTCCATCGTAAGGGATCCTCTCTTCAACTGTCACTACGTGACAAACTTGAACCCCAAATTATATTCGAATGCCTAGTTTCACACATCTCCATACAAAGAAGCAACTAGCAGAAATTGGAAGAGCAGCAATACTCCAAAGAGTGCTACCTTATCGATGATATCTGGATACTTAGATGTGTTGTTTTCTTGATTACGACTATAACGAGAACAACACCAGACTTTTACATGTGAATCTATAAAAACGACTAAAACGATATAAATATTACCTGTCGCCCCGTTGATCGTCGAGTTACTCATACGGGTACCAGCAACTCTTCCATTTTTCCCTACCGCGTGCAAGAGTAGCCCAGTGGGTCCTCTTCGCTCTGGGGAATCGCTGAGCATCATATTTTTCTTCTATCGCTTTCGTGAAGAAATCGGACCAACGGGTCAGTGGTCTTCCTTTAGAGCGCTTGACGTCCCGAGGATTCCAGTCGGTAACGGCTCTAGTCCATCGGTTGTCGTTGAAGCGCATCACGTGTCCGGCCCACCTTATTTTCGGTATCCTGGCGTGTAGAACGGCGTCGCTGATTTCCGATCATAGACGTAGGTCGGAACTTCGGATCCTATTCCTCATTTGCGAAATACGAGATACTCCTAGCATCAACCTTCCGACTGCGCGTTCGATAACGCCAAGTGATCTTTCATCCTGCTTGAGCAGCGACCAGGTTTCTGCTGCATACGTTAGGCCAGGGATAATTGTCGAGTCGAAAAGGTGGGCACGGAGTCGGATGTTCTTTTTCCTCTTCACTACATCTTCGATGCTCTTAAACGTTCCTCAAGTCGCTCGTTTCCATCTGCTCAACTCTGGAACTAAGTCGTTGATTATGTTGATTTCGCTACCTCGATAGACGTAACTGGAGCATTCGGAGATTGTCGTTCCGTTGAGCGTCAATGGGGCAATAGAAACCCATCCGTTCCTCATGAACATTGTTTTCGTTAGATTTAGTTGAAGACCAATCTTTCCACAGGCGCTATCGAAATCGGTCAACATTCCATCCGCTTGGCTAATGTTTGGTGTTATGAGAACGATATCGTCAGCAAAGCGAAGGTGGTTTAATTGCCGACCGTCAATTTTCACTCCCATTTCGTAACATTTCAATGTTCGCATGACGTTTTGCAGGGTGGCAGTGAATAGTTTTGGCGATATTGTATTTCGCCGGCGGTATGCAATGTGATGTTATGTCCATTTTCGACCTTCAGAGTTCCATTAATTTACATCACGTTCTCGTACCATTTTTTTAGTCTAAGTTCTGCTTACTTACATTTTTAAGTCAATCGCGTGACAACTTAGCGTTTAGCCAAACACGCGGCAACTTACACCCAGGCATCAGTCTGTATGCACCTGGAGAGAAAATATGAACGTGATGTAAGGTTGGTGATACGATTCTGACGGAAAAAGCTCGGTACAAAGTCGAATTGCAAGAGCTCCCATGTGTATCTTTTTACCGTAAACTCAATTGAGAAAAGTAGTGTTTGACGTTTTAATATGATTCTCGCTGTATTCTTTTTATAGCATTTTGCCAATATTGCTGCTTCATAAGGAAAAAAGTTTCTAAGCTTATGGATGCGTACAGGACGTTTGGGAAACTGTTTCAGTTGCCGCGTGTTATGTAGGCCAACCCATCTGAGGCGGGGCTGACCCATTCGAGTACACCAATATTTTAAAGCTTTTATTGCTGAACTGCTCTTTCCTGCCTGATTATTAGTATGCCTGATAATCATTTTTTGAGCTACGCATGCCAGTGATTGTCAAAGAGGGCTGACATAAAAAGCCCAATACACGCGTTTCAATCATGCGATCTCTTCAGTCGGGCAGTTACCCTTTCTCGTCTTTTGTTAATCTCTGTGGATGCTCCAGTCCCCACAATAAGAGTTAGCGACGACGAACGCTTTACACTCTATGTCCAGTGAAAATCTCACCGAACATAGAGTGTTGTACACTCAATTGCTCTTGGCTGGTATATTCAATAGAACATATCTTTCGTTTCGAGTGTTTTCTTA